GTAGTAATTTGGTTAAGTTTTGGGGGTGGAGTTGCTAGCACCACGCTCCAACCCTCCCTCTTTATCCGGGCTTGGGACCGGCTAGAAAACTAGTGAGCTAGTTATCTAGGCGAGGGAACAAACAAAACAAGAACCAATCGCCCAACAAATATGCAGGAGAAAGTGGAGATGGATTGGACACTCGCTGAGGAGGCCACTGGGTGACATCGCTCGTCAGGCCAATGCTCGAGTGGAACCCGAAAGGAAAGCGGCGAGTGGGACCTCCAAGGGTGACATGGAGGAGATCGTGTGAAGAGGAGTTGAAACAGTATGGACTAACATGGATGCAGTTGAAAAGTACAGCAGAAGACAGAAGCAAGTGGAGGCGTGCAGTTGAAGCCCTATGTTCCACTAGGAACCAAGGGAACAATAATAATGATTAATAAAACAGCAAAGGAAAAAAACAGTTCTATAGTAGTGGACGAAATGGTTAACCAATGAACAGATGATTACTCAAATTACAAGGATAACCAACTTCCATTATTTGAATGATGATGATGATGACAAAAACCCTAACTCAGAGCATAAAATTAGCAAACCCCACAAAGATAGTAAGAGGCAAGGTCATTCCTTCCACATAGGTTGTATCGGTGGTGGTGCATTGGTAGGACGTTTGCCAACCACGGAAGTGGCCCGGGACTCGATTCCCAACGGGTGCACACATAAACTTCGCTTAACCCGGGTAAACCAGATTAAGAGACAAGGTTGAGAGTGAGGCTAACAACCCCCCAATCCTTTGAAAAAAAGAAAACACCACTGCTACTGGAACTTCAAAGCTCAAGCTTGAAGCCCTATGTTCCGCTCGAAATACAAATGAAAAAATTATTATTATCATTAAGAACGCTTGCTAGTTAGTTAGTATGTACATTGAGGTATTAAAACTAAACAAAATCACTAGAACAGTTACGAATGTTTAATGTCCACCACGACGGACTATATGGAAAATAATGTCAGCAAAGATCTTCACTGCTTTGTTCAAATTATTGCAGCAAGAAGATTTCTACAATTAATCTGTGAAGTATGCTAGGAAAACTATAATCCATCTTATGTTCAAATTTAAAAATAAACCAGTAACTAAATGTACTCAGAGTAAGCCTTAAAATCGATTGTATTACGTCAGTCATACACCAGCCAACAATTCCCCACATCTACTGATCATTCTGAATTGGCAATATGTCAGTGCCGAAGACTGACTGACTGTCTAACATTTAACATATTCCACTGATTTATGATCCTAATAAATTACTTGATTGGTTACAGGATTTCATCATGAGCTGAATTGGCAGAAGTTAGAATTCATTGGCTGGTCATTGGATTGGGTCCCAGTGAGTGGCTTAATGGTCTACGAGCTCGCCAGCCTTGTAACCTGAAGGCCCTGGATTCGAACCCAGTTGGGGTGGGTGCGTACTGCCGAAGAGTCCGAAACTAGACTGACGAAACAGCTGTCCATTAATCCCAAGTTTTCCAATGGTTCTCTAACCGATGTCACTGTTCATGATAAAATCCTCCAACCAATCAATCAAATCCCCCCTACGAACCAATACTTGAATTACTTGATTATTAGGTGAAGATCATGAATTTAACTAGCCACCTTTGTGATCACGCTTTGTATGCACCAATTGACGATTTATTTGTGAATCAAACAGCTTACCAATAAACTCTATGATACTTAATATCACGTCAGATGGTATATATATATATATACTCTAACCTCTTCTACAGTTGAATACTAACAGTGATGAAGGCTACAATATCAACTGTCTTGAAACATTGAACACACATTGATTTCCCCTTCAAAACTTGAATTATAAGCTACCACCGATAATCTTATATGATACCTTTGATTGAAAACATTGAACTAAATGAAATTGTAACACAAGCGCATGAAAACATGAATGTTTCTGAATCAAATCGCGCATACGCATAAAGTCTTACAATTTATAAAAACACGCATGTACACACACACACACGCAAACACGTCTGTCTGCAAAATGATAAAAATGAATAACACACTGACAGTGAATTTACGCAAAATATTTAATCTATCTATTACAGTAAACTTTCTCGAATAAATACATGACAAAATGCACTTAAGTGACGGACAAAATCGATGATTATTGACTTTATTAAATAAAGACCATGGTTTCACTTAGGTGATGTAATGCATAACAACAATACTAGTGTACAAAAAATACAAATGAATAATGAATGGTATTAACCAATAAACAAATTGCGATAATGCCACCACCCAGTTAGCAAGGAATCGTACTTTTAATGCTCCATAATTCAAAACAATCATAAAGTTGTGTTACCAGAAAGATTATTACTTATACATTGTTGGTATTAGATGGTTGGAGGCAATCAATCGGCAGGGAACGTTGGACCTAGGTTTCGTGCTAGTTGACACTCACCAGTCAGCAAGGCACGCGTATCTGCAACCGCGAAGGAACTCATGTCCCTTCTGAGATTCGAACCCGCGTCACCCAGTGCCGCCTGCAGTCAGAGACGTTATCATTGAGTGATTCAGGTTCGCGATTGACCTACCTCCTGTAGGACTGCTGTATTGGATATTTTTGATTGGACACTAGTCAGGAAGTCATGGTAACCAGTAGTTCACATAATGGGAGTTGTAAAAATTTGATCTGTATTAGTAGCCAAAGGGACCAGTAGTGAACAAGTCTAATCTAAGCCATTTATCAAAATGCTTTACATTCAAATATCTGATTTTAAAGCAGTCTATGAGTAGTCAAGAGTGTGTGTTTGTGTGTACTCAATAACCAGTTGCAATTCAGGACAGTCGACAATGATAAGCCACATCTATTGTGTGAGCTAGTGATACTAATCTGGAATGGAGTACGAACCCGCAACCCAGGGATTGGAAGTCAAGCGCATAGACCCGCAGTTTCCCAATCAAGTAGTGGAGTATCTCTAACTTTACGTTATTGCTCTGCTATTGCTCCAAAGAATGAAGGTGGGGTTCACAGTCTTAGTCATCCGATTTTTAACCAGTAAAATAACATTTTTCTTAACTAATCTCCAGCTACTTTCAACGGAGTAGCAAAACAAATACCACTCAATAGTTAAATAGATAAACGTGTGTACCAGATCATTGAATTTATATTTTACAAGAAAAAATAGTCAAACAGTCATTATTGTTTGTATAACCCAATAGGAAAAGGCTTAGTTGTTACACTTTACAGCAGCACTGTTGACTACCTCTTCCCATTCTCAGACAGTAAGTAGTATTGTGAGAAGTACATACATAGAACAGCCTAATATAAAAACAACTTGATGATGGACATTTCCTTTTTTTGACAGTAACGATGTACGACAATGCAAAATAATGTCAGTTGTCAAATTTCGATATTTAAAAAATAATAAATACACAATTTGTAATTCTGTAAATTTATTCCTTTGGAAGTAAATAAAAATATCTCGGATAAGATTACTTTAATTATTTTACTTTACTAGATTCCAGTATTTTTCACACCTAAACGTGTTCAATATTTAGAAAACGGTAAGGTTCCAATTGCAGAGAGGCTAAATTTTACCAGAAGGTAAATAGATTAGATAAAGAACTTTATATGATTAATCTACAATATGTGAATAGTCTCCTTGGTCTCCGATTGTTAATTTAAGCTGCATACGACGAAGCAGTGGACCTAGTATATATGGAGTAAAATACCTATCGTAAATATATGCTTGGTGAATGAGTGAGTGAGTGAGTGAGTGAGTGAGTGAGTGAGTGAGTGAGTGAGTGAGTGAGTGAGTGAGTGAAACAGAACCTAGTTGCTCAGAACAGATTTTCAGTACACCAGGCTATGAGCTATACTCTCTGTATGTGAGGGCTGATGATGATGATAATGATAATGCTCAGCTATCCAGGTTGACGTAGGTGGAGATGGATTCGAACCAAAGACCTTTAGGTTTTCAGTCTAGTGCTTAGGCGAATTATCCCATAAAACTGTGACACGGCTTACAATCCTCTGTAAACGACCTGGTATGACCGATGATGAATGGACTTCTGTCCTCCTCTCGAAATACTCTCATAAAGTCACACATTCATAGCTTCTGTCAGGTAAGTCCGATTCACTGCTTTCACGCGGGATGCTTATCACAAAAGTGAAAGGGTGAATGTGAGCGTCTCTGGCGCTTACAACCGAATTGATGGACATCTACGTCTACCTAAGGGAGCTGGCAAAGCCAGATTTTAAACTTACAGTGTACATCGGCTCCAAAATTCGAACGGATCAAAAGTCATATGGACTTGTTTTTTAGTCACCGGAAACCATGAGAACGCAGTTCCTGATGATGCCACTCCACTGTCCCATAAGAAAATCACCTGCTTCGGTCTGGGCGTCCAGTTAGTCTTCTCATAAATATGGGACCTTATGCAGAGCATCTCTTGATGCCCATAATGTACCGCGTTTGTGTTTTAGTAAAAAAAAATAATAATACGATAGTTATGGTTCACAATCGAATAATATGCCTTTTCCCCACTCTAATGGTAATACTACATCTCTTATTTTATGTAAACACTTTCCATAAATGCTAATTATATTACTTACACTTCTATTACCCCTCAATACCACTGAACTTATTCTCATATGAGATGCAGTATGATCATATATGTTAAACAGCATGCCTTTAATCTCTACATCTTCTGCTTTAAATTGATGTCATTGGAGCTTTAACCAGACAAGATGCTTTGAAATCTCGCTCTTTTAGCTTTTATTGTAGGAAGTGTAGGTTAGGGAGTAGCATGACATACGCCTGCAGCATAAATATCGTCATCCATACGTAGTTCAAAGTTTTATTATGAACTAAGTTTGCTTCTCCGTATTTTTTAAAAACTCTATCACACATTTACTACAGACACTTTAAGGTCAGAATTTTAACCGAACAAAGTGAAAATAGATGACAGTGGTTCTCCTAACAGGGAGAAGAAAAAAACAACTTACAATATTCTCCACCTTCTCTTCTTCAATCTCTTCAGAGTACCATCTTAGCTGATCAGTTTTCTGAGTCACAGATTGACAATTTTTTGTCCCAGTATTCAGGGTAGGATTTGCACTGCTTGTTGGTATCCAAACAACTCCGTCTGCAACCATTTTCGCCACAACTAAATCATGTGTTTCGATTGGATCTTCTTGAGCATAGGATGCAACTGTATCAGGATTTATTTTATTTATCTGACCATATGATGAGTCTGATGAGTTAACAGATTGTGATGGTGATGCAGCGAGCTTTTTAACTGTCACCTTTACACGATTTGTACTACAGGGTTTTGAGTTATTGATTGAATCAACTGATGGAGATAATTGAGTAGGCGTGGGTGCATTAGACTCAGTTGTTTTTAATTGAAATTTTTGACTTTTTGTCATATCTGAGGGTGATAGTAGTAAATTTGGAACAAAATACTGACTTCTTCTTGAAGATACTCTTGTTGTTCCCAGATCAGTAGTTGGCGAACACAAATTACTATTTGTTACACTAGAACTATGAGGAATAACAACTGTAGGCTGAGGTGGAAGGTGATGCTGAGGTGATATCACAGGGGAATTAGCATTTTCTTTCAACTTCAAACTGTTCAAAGTTGTCGGTCGACTACCTGGTTTAACAGCAGGTCGAATCAACTACAAAGAAAAAGCGTAAAAGATAGGTCATAGGTAAAATCATGACTATACCATAATAATAACAAATGCCAACGAGTTAGGGATATAAATTATATAAAAAACAAATGTTCGTGTGAAATAATAACCCGAATAGTTAGCGACAATAGCAGAAAGTTATACAGCCTCCAACAATGGACAGGAATCCTTTCATCCAAACTTCGGAAAAACGAGTTAAACCGACACTCCTACTTAAAATTCATCCCAACGAATTCAGTCTAGGCGATCGAGTAATACCATACGCTCCCATACCTTAATAAATAAAAAAAAACCTCTGACAAATAAGTAACCCAGTAAACTTATCTTTATTTTTTTTCATTCCTAAGCGTTCTGGATGGAGCACAGTGTTTTAAGCTCTAAACTTTGAGGTTTCAGTAAAGATTGTATTGGTTTTACGGGATGGGGGCTAGCTGGCCTCATGCTTAACCTTACTCCTTTTCTGGGATTACTACCGGCCAGGTGAGATTTAGCAATGCGTCCACCGGGAATCTAACCGTTACCATTTGCGTGGCTGAACAACCAACACACAATACAGTAATGCAACATAACTATTATCATTTGTTTGTTAGCGCTTCATCAACTCTTCTAATTGTTTCGCAGTAATGATATAGCTGTAGCGTCTATAATCGACTAAAAACGCTGTTATCCTAATGAAAAATGCCTAAATACAGAAGCCTTCCAAAGAAATCTCTAAAAAGAACACTTAACCAGTTCCACGTACTTTTCTTCTCCACAAATGTAGTATAAGGATACCAGATTCGCTAATTCTAAAGTATGGGAGTAACTGAACACAGTAATCGCATTGTTACACAGGACACTATACGGCTTAAGCCTACAAATAAGGGGTTTTTGCTGTAGGCTGGATAGGATATATTAAAATACTCCATTCACATGTTATTTATAATGAAACCTTAGTCAAATAAGTCTCTTACCTGAGGGATGCGTGAAACTTTCGCCGGAGAACTGGGCGTAGAAGTGTTGCCTGTAATCTGAGATGAATGATTGCCAGAATTTTCTGTTCGCTTTGATAACAAATTGATTTGTGCTAAGTGATGATCCACAGGTTCATCATCTAAACTGTCTACTTCAATATCAGAAGTCTACACAAAAGATGATAAAAGATTATTATTTGGTAGGAAAATGAAGTGATGACACTTTAGAAGGCATTTTCTTTAAAAAGAAGGCAACGAAGAAATTAAATTCACAATACAAATCAGTAATCATGAGTAAATTTTCACAGTAAACGGTGGACCATATACTATTAGGTGAGTGAGTGATGCGTAACTACTTTAGCTTGACGCAAGCTAAAAGCTTAAGTCTCTTAACTGCTGCAGATATTTCATAAAGATGCAAACGATGGGCTCAATACTTTTTATTGATTATCGCAAATATTCCTCAAGAATAATGTTCAGAAATCCATAAATCTAGGTAGTTACACTTTCAATCATTAGCCGCCTTATAGGCAGATATTCACAGTCGTACAGTCACCGACTCAAGGTTCTTCAAAGATACTTCCAGTTTGGGAAGGATTCAAACCGCCATCACTTTATATCTAACAAGTATACACACGGGATAAGTGTAACAGTTTAAGCTGTTTGTACATATTCTAGTTAAAATTGACAATGATGGAGTATGTACTCATAAACTAAAGTTTTCGGGTAGGCACAGTATTCATGAGTCAGTAAAATAAGATCTGAAGGTCATAAAAACTGTAAATATCTACATATTTTCTCTTGTGTGCAAATGAAATTTAATCACTACTCCGAAGTCGCAAGTCAGAAAACTTAGTACAACTGATACTCTGAATGATGAAACGAGGAAAAAAGACGATGCATTATATGAGAATGGACATCCAGAGGAGTTTGTGAAAGTTTCTACGATAAGAGTAGATAGAGAGAAAAGCCCGTGAACTGTTGTTCAAAAAGAGATGCAGCTACTAAATTACTGACATCGAAACTCAGAAAATAATAACTAAAACAATCTTTTCCGTAACCCTACATTTCGTACTCATTACCTTTAGTACACTTCCAATACAAGTGAAAGAAAAGCTGCCCTCTTTACAGTACTTGTAAATTTAACTGCCCTTGTGCAGACAACTGCATAGGAAGAACAACTTGGCAAGACCACTGTCGCCTTTTCCAACGTGATTAGGAAAAGTAATCGTAAGGTCTATCAGGAGTCCCATACTGGCATACCTCATAGACATGCAGCACTTCAATCCTCCCCCGATTGCTAATCATAACTGAGTCAGTTGTCATAAAAACTGTAAAACGTAAGTTTCGTGTTCGAAAGAAAATTTTCTACTCAATCTTGCTTCCAAGGCTTTTATTCGCGAACTAGAATAGTTTTCTTTCCCAGTGACACCTTATAACCGAAAACATTTTCTGTATATACATCCCTATTTTTATCTCTATGATTATTAGCATAATGAATTATAATTGCATATATTACTCTTAGCTTTGCAACTTAGCAAGCAATCTCATCTTGCTATTTAGTTCATATGAGAAAAAAGTTATTTTCCCTCCCTACCCCTACAAGCATATACATTGTGCTTATAAGTTCAGCGATTGACTACCTAGACTACATGAACATTTGCACGAATTACCTGTGTTATTTTATGATCCCCTGGATTACTACTCAAACGTCTTTTACCAATAATTGTATGATGCATTTGTATAACCTGATGAGAAATCACCAAAAATACGTATTTTCTTAAGTTGTACTCTGCAATTATCATAACGAGAATATCTAAATTATATTTCTTGTGGATAAAAACTAAGATAGCAGATGAGTGCTCCTTCTCTCTGCTAGCCATTTTTTTCAGTTACCCACTTGCTATCATTTATTATATGTTAACATGAACTTAATAGAGATTTGTAGCTCAGGTGGATGGTTTTGATTTGATAGAGAACACTACCAAACCAAAATAACATAAGGGTGCTAACTGTCAACTCTCTTTTTCACTTGAAATTCATAATAATATTAAACGTAATGTCTCCTCAATGAAGCAAAACAGAAATGCAACTAATGGTGACATTTCTAGAAAATACTATCGCCTGAAACAATCTAGTTATGCATTCATTTAAAACACCATTTTATTCGCATAAGTTAGCACTAAGATACATAATTTCTCAACTTTTATACCCTATACATTGAAAAAGAATGCACTGTCTATATAAAATTCCTCTTGTGCAACTGAACTTACTTCATTGAAATCAGACTTTCCTTTTGACTTTTGATTCGCATAACTTTTTTGTTGAAATGAATCATGTGTTCTTGTAGAGATATTAGTCGTTTGATTGGCTTGAGAATTCTTGATTTCTGCTGATGGAGTACTTGTCCTGCATTTTCGATCGAATAGTGCACCAGAATACACCTGTGCTTCAAACTCTTGAAATTCCTGAATTAGGCTGTCTGTAGTTGATATTTCGCTCGCTGATGGATCAGCACCGCACTGGTTAGAAAAGACGTGGGTGCTCATCCCACTGCCGTTTTCTATGTTTACTAAATATGCTAGAAATTGAGAACAGGAAAGGATGCTTTATGATATGCTACTAAAGATAACTACGAAAATAATCAAATGTCTCAGCTAACACAAAAGCGAATAGCGTAAAAGTATTTCCCTACTAAAACCTATCTTACAAACTTATAGTACGGGGAAAATCAGAGAGTACACATATACATATACTCAGGTGACACTTAACGAGTGAACTACACCACGTGCCTGACTACAGTGAGATAATCACGGCTCAGGTTTAACAGAAATATTGCCCAACAAGCACATTAATGCATTTAATAATGAGCTACACCTGATGTGTGAAGTCTGATACTATCCAGCGACTGAAAAGAGTCCGTGAATTCTAAATTATGCAGTAAGAAGCTGTAATCAAGGAGGTTCACCAAGCCAAACAAAAGAACAGTTGCTGGCCTATGACTTCGGCTGGCGGTTGTGCTACAAATATTGCGAACTGCCAGAAGTTGAGATTCATGGACGGCTGGATTCCATCCCAGTGCCTGAATGGTCACTTCGATCTCTGTTGAAGTTACGAGTGTGTACTCATGAAGAGTCCGAGACCAGGACGAGACAACTGTTTAGTACACCCTAGTTCTCAATGATCATCTAATTGATGTCAGCTCGTGAACAGACCCGTAACCTACGGAATTTTTGAAAATTTTATCTGGTAACATGAACTTTAGTTGAAGCAAGATCTATGTTAACCTGACCACTCTGAGGCATTGGTGAAACACTGAAAATAATAATGAGCTACAAAAAGTTATAAATGAATACAGTGTTTATAAAATAATTCAAGTGATTCAACATGAAGACCTGTATAGTTTACATAGTGCATGCATCACTCATGCTTTAAAGAAAGATTAGCAAGTATTCCACTAAACTGAAACATCACAAGCATTGACAAAGGCAGTTTTCTTCAGTTGTTCAAGGACTTTTGAAGGGCCAGATGAATACAGAATATCTTCCAAAAACCAATGATTTAGAACAGCCAGCACAGTAGAACTTAGCCTGATACAAACACGCACATTGTAGACGGAAGCCAAGTACTTGTGATTTATATCCCGTTAGTGTAAGCATATCAACTGCTAATGAGATTATGACATTATCTGAATGCACAAATTGAAAATGTATGTCCGGCTTGAAACGCTACTTGGAAGCCGGCTGACTAAAGCAACAAACCATGGCCATAAGCTATTTTTTAACGGCGCAGAGCGCGAGGAACCAAGATACCAAAACTGAGCTAGTGCAAAGTGAGTACCAGAAATAATAGAGCTAGTTCTAACGTAATTAATTTTAACGTATCTAAGATCACCAACATTCAATAACTATATTTGGAAGTATCCGGTCTGTTTATGTCTGCACACATTCACTTGCCGAAAAATCAATGAACGAGTGGCTTACCAAGTTAGAAAGTTAAACCAAAATTATTAGGACAAATAAAACTTAACATTGCACGAAAGATCAGTCACTTATCCTAGTTCATTTCAGCTAATATATTTGTAGGTACATACAAATATAAAAGAGATATTTTACAACACATGTTTATCATGTATTTTACAGGCAACGAAACTTAACAACAATTTGTACAATCATATTCAGGCCTACGAAGACTACTAACAATGCCCTACATAGTGGCTCCCGGAAATTAATTCTCACAAATCAATATGGACAAACGCACACCTAAAAACTCATATTACTCAACAACTCTCGCATAAAAGCCCAAAAACATGCGAAAAACTTGAAAATACCTCTAATTAATTGCCTAAGTATACTACTCTATCTCCAAATCTCACTTCTATCCTTCAACATAGAAATAATGACTGACTTGCAGGGACCACCGACCTTGACAAAATTCAACTGTGCACTACAATCATGATTCAAGTACTCTTAAATTCAGACACTAAAACAATACTTTGAATAAGAGATGATTTGATCTCTAATAAACCTGTGAATATTTTAAACACTTTCACATCTCTTTTATAATGAAGTGTGAGATACAGCATCTTTATTAAGTAATCTTTATTGCATTTACTGCTTCTATCGCCAGTGTACCTATATGGTATTATTCACCTTTATTGCTTATGAGCTAATGCAGTGAATGACATACAGCCTCCGTCAGTGGCGCCTCAGTTATGTGAAACTGAATAACGAGAAATAGGATTTTAGATGAGTATGTATGTCACCTGCGTCTTTATAAATTGTACTGCTGTTTCATGTTCGAGCATCGTCAGCTTAAATCAGGTTTTAGAACAAATACTATGTCCTTATTACCCCAAAGCTTTCAGCTGGTTTCTCCCAGTGGTTCCCGACTACCACCTTTGTCTAAGAATTCGCCTGACGGCCAATGCATAGTTTTGTTATATTTACTGATATTATTCTTTTGGGTTTGGGTTGGAACATAGGGCTTCAGCCGTACATCTACATTTCGTTCTTTTCTCCGCAGCCCACCTCAGGCGGTTCTGTGACAGACCACAAGCTACCTCACACGACCTCCCTCATGACGTTCTAGGGCGCCCAACTTGCCGTTTCCTATTCGGAGTGTACTCAACGGTTTGATGTACGATGTCACCCAATGGTCTACCCAGTGTGCAACCAAACCATCTCCATATCCCTCTGCATATTTGATAGGCAACAGGTTCTTCAGTAGTTCGTTGCAGAAGTTCTTTGCTCGTTATTCTTCCCGATATGCCATCTGATGTTCGGTATTGACAGAAGGCAGACGTAACACTGGTGCCAAAAATCCGAAACTTCTTCATGCTGACTACGGGAGATTTCAAGGCTGACAGCGTATCACTGTCAGCTGTCGACAGACAGATGATAGGGTTACTAATTTGTGTGATGAGGCAGCTACAAAAAACACACTAGAGCCGGCGTTATAAATTACATTTCAGCTTCAAGTTTAAGATCACTATAAGCCACAAATGTTTTCCCTCTCACATTTCATGTATTCCTGGTTAAAAGTAGAATTATTGCAACTCCTATGTTTTAAACTGTAAAGATTACTATAGTTCAGTACCCTTAAATAATTCCCATTTTTAAAAACTAGTAATTGTGAGTTCTTCAGACACAATACACAAGTTATTATTATTGTTTAACGTCGTTTTATTATCGGCTCCAGAAACTTTAGATTAAAATTTGAACTTAAACCAATATCTTGTAACCTATTCACTTAAAACTAAACATCACAAACTTCTCATAAAGTTTATGGAGATTTTTTCACAGTTTTTCCAATTTTTAATGTAATAAAACAGTGTTCTATTTCAACTTGCACTAGTCAAATTTGATCATGCCTGTACAAACGGTATGCCAGTCATGTAAATGCCTAATTTATGTGAGTAGTTTTTGAAGCTAGACTTGGTATCTGAAGTTTAATGACACGTTAATAAGGTGAAGTGAAGAGGTCTGTGTCAAGACCAGGTACTGAGCTTGTAGAAGCGATCATTCTACTAGTTGCCAGTATATTTTTGCTGCCATTTCCAGCCATAGTAGATGGTAGTGACGCGACAGTTAGGTGCTTGCGGATTATTGGCAAGCTGTGCGTCTCACTTCCATATTTTGTGGGGGTTGTTTCGCTTGTTGCTGCAAGCATGTACGTGCTATCAGTAATCAGGTTGACAGGTGACTGAATTCGTAACGTTTTTATATGATTAACCATATTTAATTAGTGAAAGAGTTATTGGTTACAAGTATGGAACTGGAGAAACATTTGTGGGAGTCTCACAACAAAAATAGAAATATATAGCGATTAAGCTAAAATGTAATGCAAACATTGGACTAACCGCGTATGCGTATTTTGTGTGTTAACATCACAGATTATTCGGTCATCAAACCATCCGGTTTACAATTCTTTGCACATTCAACGATAACTAAATTGCTCAGGAAAAATTTCCATCTAGACATTGGGAGTGGCACCTTAAGAGATTTGCTTCTAAACAGAACGCCATAGTGCACAACATACCTGACAATGAGCCCATAAAGTCGGTTCAGCACTCCTTGTTAAGGGCTGCAAACCTTTTAAGTACACCCTGTCAGTGTATTAGACTAAATAAAAAAGAGCTAAACCGCACATGTCCCATACTTTTCAGGTTTGACAGCTGTATAATAGCAGAACAATTTAGGAAATCTGGGGATACTTTGGCCTCCTCTACGAAATTCAAAAATGTTAAAATAGTCTCGGACAAAACCCCCAATTAACGACAAATAGCGAAGAACACCTTAGATACGAAGACAATTATACCACAAATCATGAATAGCATCAGTGCCGAAGTATCGAAGGACACTGAAGCACAGAGTGACACTCGCATTGTACTAGGTGAACAAGCGACACGCGAAGGTGAAGGGAAACCCAAAAAGGGCAGTAACGCTGGAATGAGTCTCGAAGTTCGTGAGAACACACCTAGGAAAGCTACCGACCCCGCACATGAGGTAGACATAGATGCTTCTGCGACAGATAACCTACAAATATCGGCAGATAACACTGCACCCAGGGCCAAGCAAGGTAATCACCCTGTAAAAGCTGAAAAGAAGTCCCCTAAAACCAAGGTCTCTCCACAGGCGTCCACATATCTCCCTTGTGACAAGCCCAACAAGCAGCATGTAAGCCCAAAAAAGAGCTATGCATGCATTACGGCAGGTCCCATAAAGGAGACGGAACACGAGAGTGGAAGTGCTCTTCGTCGAACTAAGAGTAGTAGACAAACTGTGGATGATAGACCATACGAGGTCAAAACTAACAGCAAAAATAGCTCTATCCACACAAAATCACACTCTAGCAGACACGCAAGAGGAACCGAGCTGATTAAACAGCAGAGTGAGACTCACAATTTCCGTAATAGCCTAGGTTGTAATATGCCTATGGGCTCATATAACCTGAGAACGGGACCCAGAATAAATAAACAAAACACATGGGCTACTAGACGGGACACCACTAGGTACCATATAGACGGAAATGCATACTCGAACCCTCG